GCAAACCCCGGGCCACCGCAGCGGAGAGCGCGCACTTAACTGCTTGTGCCACCAGGTCGGACCCCGGAGTTAGGATTTTAACATATGAATTTCAGGGGGACACAAACATTCAGTCCACAAGACCCTTCTTTTGGCCTCCATTCTATCCTTTTCGTTCATTTCACTGTTTATTTATGGGCCAATTTTTCTAATTATGCCATGTATTCCTTCAGTCATGTACCTTACTGGATTTGGCATTTGATAGTCAAAGCACAGATTTTGGTGTATAAAAAGGATATTTATAAATGTTGTGGAAAAAATAATTCCTATATTATCTTAATACTTAGTGCTCTTGAGAAGCAGTTGGCTCTAAACGTAAAACATCTAATGTCTTATCTGAAAGAGTTTTCTCAACAGAGGAACTACTAACCTGTCCGTGTAAAATTCTTAATTCTTTGAAATCTTGTGTTGTCAATCTGCTAAAATATCTATTTCAACTAAAAAGTTATTTATTAGCGTATCGGTAACCATCTGATATCTATGCACAGACACTAATAGGAAACCTAAGTGTACACTTTACTTAAAATGGAAACAAAACAAACCAACAGCAACAACAACAAAAACACATACATGTCGTCTAGTGAAATGTAAGTTTTTCACAAACACGCATTTCCTTTGAATTGCCGTAAATAACATGCTGCCTAGCACCATCCTGCTTTGGGCTTGAGTTCATTGTTTTACAAGATATTTTGTGGCAACTGCTAATTATCATAAGCTGTCCAATAAATGTGATGGATTGTCCAATTAACTCTTCGTCAGCATCCGTTTTTGAAGATGCTACCTGTTGAAACTGATGGCAGTTTATGACCTCCATGTTGCTTCTGTGGCTAATTACTCCTTGGACAATAATTATTAAGTTTCCTGTGCCTCATTCAGTCATTTTGTTTTACAAATTATGATGCCGCTGAGTTTCCCCATTCATTGGAATTCACAACTATGGCTCTCCAAGGATTGCTAAAGTTCTGCTGTGGAATGTATGGATCATATAAACATTGAAGTAGATTACAGATATATCTGTTTTGTAGGTTTTCCATCGACCGGCACACTGACCTGGAGAGACAATTCAACATTAATGCAGATGATGGGAAGATAACACTGGCAACACCACTTGACAGAGAATTAAGTGTATGGCACAACATAACAATCATTGCTACTGAAACTAGTAAGTGCCTGCGTTTAATTTCTTCCTTGTGTGACTGGGTTCAATTTATGCTTAGTGATCACATGATAAATGGTCTCTGTTTCCGTTAAATACTTTGGCATTGGAACTTATTTTATTGTTCCCAAGGAGCCTTTGAACGAATCATTTCAACACAAAGTAACTTTACACTGTTGTAAATTACCCAAGGTTGTAACATATGTGGGAAGGAAAAATTCTTATATCCAAATATTCTTATATCTTATATCCATTACTCAGGCATTAAAAACAATGTTTTGTTGGCCAGCCCAGTGGCATAGCGGTTAAGTGTGCGTACTCCGCTTCGGTGGCCCAGGGCTCGAAGGTTCGATCCCCGGTGTGCACCAACACACCGCTTGTCAAGCCATGCTGTGGCAGCATCCCATATAAAGTAGAGGAAGATGGGCATGGATCTACCCCAGGGCCAGTCTTCCTCAGCAAAAAGAGGAGGATTGGCAACAGATATTAGCTCAGGGCTAATCTTCCTCACAAAAAAAAAAAAACAAAAACAAACAAAAAAAGTCTTTTGCATATTAAAATATGGGGAAAGATTTAGAAAGTTAGATAAAAAGGTAGGTAAAAATAGAACCCAAGAACTATACAGTATAATTTAAATAAGTGGACACTAACATATATATTATATAGAAACTATTGCTCACATATTTAAACTACACACATACATATGCACATACACAGGCAGAAAATATAGAAGAAAACTTCACACTCTTAATACATATTATTTTGGGGAGATGAAATTATAGATGATTTTTTGTTTTGTTTTCTAGAGTTTAATGTATTTTTCATGGTAATCAGACTATATAAAACTGTAACTTCAATATAAATTTTTTCATAAATTACATATGAAAATGTAAGCTTTTTTTTAGAGGACGTTACAGGGTTGTTAAAATAATACATGTTAGTTTTTCTGTCAATTTTTAATGAGCATAGCTTCTTTGATAGCGCTTAATGACACTACTATTGCTTCTCTAAACAACAGCTATATGGTAAAATTTAGTGCTACACTGTCTTTGAGAACTTATACTCTGCCTCACCAATTTTTTTTTTATACAAAAACATGCAGAAGGGATATGATGTTCATTTTATGTCCAAACAAAATATATTTTGCTTATTATCTGAATCTCTTCTTTCCATAAAGGACCTAATAAGGCCTTCACGGTTTACACAGATTCAAGGGAGACAATAAATCCTTGAGGGAGTTGTGAATCTGAGTAAGGAATAAAAACCAGCATTAAGAAAAATTCATGGGCATACACACAATACAGAGGGTGTAGATGATAATTATAGGGTGTGAGACCTAAAATCCGTTCTATGCTTTCCAAAATCTGGTCAATGCTTTCACAGCAAGTGTGAACACACAGGAAACATCTCTGAGATACAGGATTAATTTGTTTGTACAAAGAAGAGTAATCCAAGCATTCAGGAAGGGCATGGTTTTCCCTGTTCTGAGAGGTGGGGAAAATGTCCTCCATGGAGCCTTATTTAAAAAAAAACAAAAAAACAAAAAAACCACTGTGTGAAAAAGTGAAATATCAAGAATGAAGAATGTCTGTTTCTTATAACAACCTGGGATGCAGGCGAAGAACATACAGTCAAGTTGATATGCAGTTTCAATCCTACCCAATGGAGGGTTCTGGAGAGAGGACAAGCTTTGGAAACTTTGGTGTTATTTGGCTTAGGAGTACCATTTTCTTCCCTTGTGTGTTGCTCTGGCAGTAGTTTCCCCTGTAACATTAAAGAATAAAGCAAACAAAACATACAAGTTGGTGGCTTTGGCTTATTAGAAATGTTAACCCCATCTAGAGAGATACAAACATGATATTTTTATAATTTATAATGTTGGAGCCACATTATCACCTTAAGCCTCTGAGAAAAAGTATATCTGTTTAGATTGGTTTAAGGCTTTATAAAAATACTCTAAAAGATTACAGTTTTCTTTCAAGTATGTGGGCAGTAATTACTTTTAAAAGAACTTTGTGATGTATTGGATACAACCTAGTTGAGTTAGCCTTAATCCATGACACTTTTTTATGAGATGAATGCCTTCACTTAAATATTATCAAGGAGGTCCTAATTATAAGGATCCATGTACTCCATTCTCAGGAGTAAAAAGAAATGAATACACAGAGCAGGTGGTTAAGAAGCATTTCAGCGGCAATCCAGAAACGAAAGACTCATTTGCAAGGAATCACAGACAAGCCAGAAGCCAGGCACAGAACCAGCTGCTCCAGGGTAATGAGCTGTTAACTCCAGGGTGACACGGGTACCAACCCCAGTCAGAGAAGACATTCATTTCCTCATTCACTCAATCATTATTTATTGAGTCTGCGCTACTTGCTAAGCACTCTTCTAATGACTGGGGATATAGCAGTAAGCAAAAAGTCAAAAACCTTGGTCCTCTTGGAGTTTTCCTTCTAGTGGCACCTGCATATGGAAGAGTGAGTTGAATCTGAGAGATAACCATAAAGAAAGACACAGAGGTAAGGAAGAAGATGATGAGTGTTGGAAATTACGAGCAGTTGTATGTTGACGATGTGAAAAAATGTACAATGATGGACTTCCTTCAGTGAACATATGATTATATTAAAAACTGTATCATAAAACATATGAAAAAAATTAAGCCTTTATATGTATCAATAAGATAACTAGTTAAGACTATTTTTAAAGTGGTAGAGTTATTATTATAAATGCAGCGTAATCACATTACAAAAAATAGCAAAACATACACCAGATAAAATTTTCTTCATGGCTTCAGAGAAATCAGTCAAATATGTCCCAGGTTCAGGTTTACAGCTGACTCCATAGAGAGAACAAATACAGAACAGCTCTGCCCACCTGAAGGCCAACAGCTTGTCCGTGAACCTTACAGAATTTAAAATATATAACCCAAACTTATATTACTCAGTTGAAACAGGGGGAGTTATCTCACCTTTTAAATTAATTAATTTATTTTTACTCAGAGATTGAAAACTAAACAAAGTGCAGAGGCTTATTTTGGCCAAGAAACAAGCTTAATTCAGGAGGTTAAACATTTCAAGAAATGTAGAACTGTAAACTTAGATATCAATCTGCTTTTTAAAAATTTTTGCTTGTAACTTTCTTATAACTATAAAGAATGACAGTACAAAAGAGAACTTTAATTTTTAGCTATAAAATATAAGCTGAGGTTGGCATAAATCTAGAAACTTTAAATGTACAATTAAGCCATATTTTTCTGAATCATGAAAGGAAGTAGAAATAAGATCACAGAGAACACAAGAAAAATTGAAATTACCATGAAAACGGCTTAGAAACTTGTTTTGACTTGGTTTTATTATTTAGCCCATCACATAATGTTTATCTTCCAAAGCCACAGACCGCATCTTGGGGGAAAAAATATTAAAGGGAGATTTATTGTATTTGGATGAGATGAATATTTAAAACCACCCAGGACAACAGAACCTCATAGGGAGAGGTTCTAATAAAGATAAAGAAATATCCATTTCAGGGAGAACAATTTAAAATTACTCTCAGAATGCCATCTCATCAGACAAAGATTTAAACAAATGAAATTAAGCTAAAAAATGGATTTTAGGGAGGTCCATCTGTTATCACTTAATGAGGATGGAGATGTCGTCCTTTATCCTCTTCTGTCAGATTCACTTAAGCAAGGCTGAGATGCTTCAGTATGTGTATTACCCAAGTATTTCAGTGGTAATTTAAAGTCTAGCTTGTCATCCCAATCAATGGGCACATCTCATTACATGAGCTGGCAGTTAGATGCCCATGTGCTAACAAGAGATTAGGCTTGTATGGCATATCTCTGCTAAGCATCTCTGTTAGTAGCAACACTATCCCCTGAAACTATAGTAGATAGCTGCTCTTTACCATGGCACTGAAGGTTTAAGGTAAAACTAGCCAACTAATTAAACACTGCAAAAGTATTATGCAAGCCCTACAATGCATTTAATTCTCACAAGACTCTGTGCAAGTAGGTACTATTATTATATGCATTTTTCAGACAAGGAAACTCACGCACAGTTTAAGGAACTTGCTTAAGGTATCATAGAAAGCAAAGATTGGGTAGGGGAGCAGGATTGGTAGCCACGTTTAACTGCAGATTACGTGTTCTTAGATGCCCTCCATGGAAGAAACCTCTTTTATATCTTCTTTCCTTTCATCCTCCTGCTTAAATTGAGCCTCTGACACTGCCACATCATTTCCTGAAGCAAATGAATGAAGTAGTTCTGTGCAAAGCAGAAGGCTGGTGAGGGACAAGCGTGCAGTCGAGGAAAGAACAAGCATGCCCTCCATCAGGCCCTCCCATTATCTCCTATTCCATTTTTTTGGTGAGGAAGATTAGCCCTGAGCTAATATCTGTTGCCAGTCCTCCTCTTTTTGCTGAAGAAGATTGGCCCTGTGCTAACATCCATGCCCATCTTCCTCTACTTTATATGTGGGACGCCTGCCACAGCATGGCTTGATAAGCAGTGTGTAGGTCCGTGCCCAAGATCTAAACCCTCAAACCCTAGGCCACTGAAGCAGAGTGCGGTTAACTTAACCTCTACGCCACAGGGCCGGCCCGAGGCCCTCCTATTCTAATGTTTATAACTCGGGGCAGGGATATTGCCTAATGAACAAAGCAGAGCTTTGAAACTGTTCAGACTGGAGTTCTAGTCCCATTTTAGAGATAGGGAAGTGAGGAACAGACAATAGAGAGTCCAAAATACATTTTAGGGGACAGCGTCAATGAAGATCACAGAGAACTTAACTAACCCAGCTGATCCAAATCATCTGGATAATTGCTTAAACCAAATCAAAAGAGTTCTGGCTTTTGGTCAGGACCTACTGAATCAGAATCAATTGCAAAGGCAGCAGTTCAGGAATCCAGTTTTCACAAATTCTCCCACCTCCTCTCCACCCCGCAATCAGCTGTGCATTATACGTTAACAATATGGTGAAGGAAGGCAGAGAAAGGTGAGGTGTTC